CTAGGAAGTGTGTCTCCTATGAATGAAGTCTTAATTTAGGAAGTGCGTCTCCTATGGGTGAAACTTCAATGACTCAAACTAGGAAGTGCGTCTCCTATGAATGAACTATCAATTTAGGAAGTGCGTCTCCTATGAATGAACTCTCAATTTAGGAAGTGCGTCTCCTACAGGTGTATCCTGAAAGACCCGGACTAAGAAATGCGTCTCCTAGGGCTGAAACTTCAATGACTCGAACTAGGAAGTGCGTCTCCTATGAATGAACTCTCAATTTAGGAAGTGCGTCTCCTACAGGTGTATCCTGAAAGACCCGGACTAAGAAATGCGTCTCCTAGGGGTGAAACTTCAATGACTCGAACTAGGAAGTGCGTCTCCTATGAATGAACTCTTAATTTAGGAAGTGCGTCTCCTATGGGTGAAACTTCAATGACTCAAACTAGGAAGTGCGTCTCCTATGAATGAACTCTCAATTTAGGAAGTGCGTCTCCTATGGGTGAAACTTCAATGACTCAAACTAGGAAGTGTGTCTCCTATGAATGAACTCTCAATTTAGGAAGTGCGTCTCCTATGGGTGAAACTTCAATGACTCAAACTAGGAAGTGCGTCTCCTATGAATGAACTATCAATTTAGGAAGTGCGTCTCCTACAGGTGTAAATCGACTTAGGAAGTGCGTCTCCTATGGGTGAAACTTCAATGATTCAATCTAGGAAGTGCACCTCCTATGAATGAACTCTCAATTTAGGAAGTGCGTCTCCTATTGGTGAAACTTCAATGACTCAAACTAGGAAGTGCGTCTCCTATGAATGGACTCTCAATTTAGGAAGTGCGTCTCCTATAAATGAACTTAAATGAACCAGACTAGGAAGTGCGTCTCCTAGGGAAAAATCTCAATTTAGGAAGTGCATCTCCTAAGCAAAATATAATTTGGAAGACTTGGACTAGGAAGTGCGTCTTCTAGGGGTAAAACCGTCAGTGACTCAAACTCATATGATCCAAACTAGGAAGTGCGTCTCCTAAGGGTAAAATCTCAATTTAGGAAGTGTGTTTCCTACAACAAAATATAACTTGAAAACCCCGACTAGGAAGTGTTTCTCCTAGGGGTGATGTGTGATCTTTTCAATAGCCTTTGCGTAAGCAGAATTGGGGCATTACACCTGAAAATTTCAAGCTTCCAGCTTTGATATGAACATAGCTTCCGTCCCTGTTTCAGACAAAGAAAACTTGTGAGTTTAAACATGGTGGTTGGTTTGTGGCCTTGACTTTTCGGCGATTGCTCCTTCATTTGCCATGATAACTTTGATTTCACCTTGAAAGACGTTGCTTACTTATTGACTAACCAATTTCTTTGCCACCCTTATCACAGAAAATACCTCTTCTCCATTCAAACCCAATGTCCACTATCTGTTGCATTGCTCATAAACCAACATTTACCAAACCTTTGTGTTTCACATGAATCTCAAAGCACGTCAAATGCCACCCACTCGGTGCATATGCTGTTCCTTCTTGACTTAAACCACTGGCCTTGGCCTTGAGGGCTATTGCTCCTTCACTTGCCATGATAACTTTGATTTCCGCTTGGAAGGCCTTGCTTGTCATTTGTTAAACCACTTTCTCTGTCAACCTCCTCACAGAGAATACCTTTGATCCGTTCACCCAACATCCTTCCATCTTGTTGCATTGTTCATGAATTGATATATACCAAACCTTTGTATTTCACAAGGATCCCAAAACATGTTGATTGTTACCAGCTCAATGCGCTTGTTGTTCTTTCCGGACTTATGACGCTTTGAAGTGCTAACCAGATCCCGTTTTGTGCAATTTGGAGAGATGGTGGCAAATTTTGAAGTCATTTCTAACTTGTTTTGACCAAACAGACTCAGGAAGAGGAAGTAAACAAGACAAAAGGAACAGAGTAGAGGACAATGGGAAGAGATGATTCCTAACAAGAAAACTACAAAGTAGAAACCTATCGGATGTGGATACCAACTCTAATGACCATGACATGCACCTGCGGCCTATTCTGTTAAGCAAATCTGATGTTCAGCTCTTGTCGTACCTTTTCGCCGTGAAACTGGGCTTCAATGCTCCGCTTATCCAATCTGATTCACAATCCTTATTCGACTTGTAGTGCCCGAAGGGTTTTTACCATCAAGCGTCTCTCATTTTGGTCTTTCTCTCAACTCACTGTCGCCTTATGGTGCCCGTGAAGGTTTTCACCAATAAGACTCTCTCATTTTTATTATTTTTCTGCTTTCATCGCCTTGCGGTACCCGTGAGGGCTTTCATCAATAAGACTCTTTCATTTCCCTTGTTTGGACTGGAGTGTTGCCCCTGATATGATTCACCTCTACTTGCTCGCCTTGGCATCTCTCGAAGACTGATCGAAAGGTCTTTATCTGGACCGTAATGTGGGCTTTTGGATGGGGTTAGAAAGAAAGGGTATCAGATGGCTCAAAACAATTCAAATGGGTTCAAAATTACAACTTTCGGAATTAAATCTCTTACAACAACCACAACTTCTGCCCCAGTTTCTTTGCTTGGGGACTTTTGGATTTTTATTTTGATGGGACCGAACCGTGAGGCTGCATACGTATCCTTAAAAGGAATCAGGTCGAACGTAGTTCATGTCATAAGAATTGCTTTGTTTTGTTGTTTTTTTTGCTTTTCTCTTTTCTTTTTCTTTTCTCTTTTTTTCTTTTCTTTTCTTTTCTTTACTTTTTCCCATTTTTCTTTCTCTTTTTCTCTTCTCTTGTCCTCTTTTCTCTTTTTTTTTTCTATCTGTATCTGCATTTCTAAACTCCGCTTCTGATTCCAAAAGAGGGATATGAAAGAAAATAAATAAGGCTCAAAGGGGTAACAAAGGATAATTTGTTTAGATAGCAGAATAAAATGCCTTCGTCATTCCAATCTTCAAAGCATGCCAAATACAAACAACACAGTGAAACAAACCACGGAAAACATTCGTAACATCTTTTGATTGTGCCAGACTTGATAACCATATCCACACATTTGCATTCTTCATTTGTTAAACACAAAGCATCATTGGGCAACATTCTCACTTTCCTTACCACGAACGACCCCTGTCAATTTGGGGCAAACTTGCCTTTGGCTTCAAACCGATGCGGCATGATGCATTTCAACAGTATTTCTTTATGTTCTATCTGCCCCATTTTCACATGGTTCGGACTTCAAATGATCTCAAAATGTCCAAATCTGTTCTTATTTACCTCAAGTGCCCCTATCATTTTACCTCAAGTGCCCCTATCATCTTCCAAATTGCTTCATGATTGAACCAACCTTTAAGATCAGGCCTAGAATTATGCGTGCATGTCATGTTCACTAGAACCGGCATGAAAAGAAATGTAAAAGGAGAAGATAACTAAACAAAAAATGACTAGAAAGGGCGAAAAACAGAGAATTGCATTAAACAGACGGTGAAAGGGCTTGAACATCAAAACAAGCAAAATAAACTGGGGTACCACCCTAGAACAAACCTAGATAACACTAAGTGAGATACTACGACTAAAGGAACTAGACAAAATAAAAGGATAGAAGGGTTTGGGTCACAAGATAATATCCGGGTTACAACCCCGAAATAACCCGGACAATAGAAATGACAACAAAATAAACCACCAAAACTCCACTCCGGCTGACCAAGAAATGGAGCGTCTTTCCAATTACCAAGCACGGCATCTTAGCCACTGAGTTTCGCATCAATACTGCCAAGACCATTATCAACTTTAATCAACAAGTTCCCAAGAGGATTCGCATGCTCCCTGTCACTGTCATTGACCACAACTACCCCTTCTTGAATCATTCTTTCTATTTCCCTTTTCAAAGAGCGACAATCTTCAATGTTATGCCCCCAGACTTTAGAGTGGTACATGCATCGAACAGCAGGATCAAAGCCTTTCGCATATGGGTCTGAAAAATTGCTTTTGGGTACCCGTATCAACCAACTCAGTTCTGTTGTTGTCTGCCATTGCCTTTTGACTTTATGTTGTAGAGAAGAGTTACCACTTAAGAGTTACCACTTCAAAAATCACAAACCAACCACCCTTCTGATATGAGTATAACAAAATGAAGCCATCACGTTAGCGTTAGGGCATTTAACATAAGATAATCTCACTTTACGTGCAACGCACCTAGCCACATTTATCGATTCTAAAATGACTTCGAGGGTACAAAGGTCATTTGGCATCAGCCTAATTTGTTCATTTCAACCTCTCTTTTCTTTGCTTTTCTAGCACTTGCTTGCTAATTTTTCCTTCCTCTTTTTCCTTTTACTTATCACTCTTTTCTTTCCTCTCACTTCTCACGTCCCATAATTTCACCTTTTTTTCTTTTTCTTTTTTTCGTTTTTTCCCTTTTTTTTCTTTTTTTCTTTTAATAATAAAAAAAATGATTCGATCGAACCCTATGTAGGTTGCCTACGTATCATGACCCCGCATGAATCAAATCTTCGCATAGTTCTGGAAGATCAGGAATAAAGGAAACAAACTGACGTTCTCATTTTCTTTTTCTTTTCCTTTTTACCTTAATGACTACTCTAATGAGAAAAGAGAAACAAAAGAAGCAAATCCTTTTTTTTGAATTTTCTAGACTGAATGTTCTATAACCTATTCTAAACTCAAGCTTAATGGATTTCTTTTTCCTTTTGACACAAATTCTCTATTAAGGCAAAATCCCTAAAGAGAAAAATATTTTTTGACCTATTTTTTAGGAAGGAAATCATGTTGTTTTCTTTTCTTCTATGTACAATGTCCTAAAGTTCTAATGAAAATAAAAGGATTTTTTTTTTCATTTTTCATTAGTTTCCCAAAGAAGAACCTCAAAAGAAAATCTTTTTGGATTTTTGAAATTACATACCTTAAAGAAAACTCTTTAAAGGGGTACTAAAAGAAAATTCTCTCTCTTTTTTTGAATTTTTAGTCTTAATATACTAAAGGAAATATAAAAGCAATTTTTATTTTGATATTATTTGCCTAAAGGAAAGATCACCTCAAAGGAATTTTTTTTTCATTTCTAGAATTAGCATTCTAAAGAAAATCTATAACGAAAATATAAAAGCGTAAAATTTCTCCTTTTTTTTTGGATTTTTTGACTTGTAACACATCTCCAAATACAAATAAGAAATACAATAACAAAAGACTAGGCAAACTCAACTAGACTATTACAAACTCTGATATCACCTAAAAGACTGAATGCCACTATACAAGACTAAAAAGTAAAACATGAACAATTGACTCAAAAACATAAAATGGCTCCTCGAGCAGCTCCTGAATGCAGTGATCCTGGGGTGTATGTCATGCTCGAACTCCGATAAGTAAATCCACACCTGTATGAGAAAACTTAAACCAACACTATATGAGACAATAATATTCCCTACTAGACACATGCAAGACATGATTGAGGTTATTTTTGCAAAATGGCTTATTTGGCCAAAAGATGGCTAGAAGTGCAAAATTTGGCTAAGACCCCGCAAAGCCAAGAACCTAACATTTATTAGGAAGACCGGACCCTATGTGGGTTGCCTACGTATCACGTCCCGAAAGACGAGAATCAGGTATGCGTAGTTCGGGCAGATTGGATATGGTGAGAATTTAAAAAAAATAACTAATTTAGAGAAAACATATTTTTTGTCTTTTCCTTGAAAATGATGAAACATGCAAAATCATTTTGGATTTTCTTTTTTTTTATTTTTTTATTTTTGGATTTTTGAAAAATGATAAAAAAGTGCAAAATCTTTTTTGAATTTTTCATGTTTTTTTTGTCTTTTTCTTAATAAAAATGTAACAAAAACATAACTAGGCCCTACTTGTTTTATTTTCACACTTCACCCTCTCTCTTTTTTCCTCTCTTTTTTTTCTTTTTTCATTTGCCCTCAACTATCATTGGTTTGCCAAATGACCCTTTTACCCTTGGAGAAATGCAACATGTAGCACATAAGATGCATCAGGATGGTCTTTTATTTTTGGGTACATCTGTCCTAGACGGACCCAACCCCTGTGTTGAGTCCCCAAGGTCAAATGCACATGATGCAAACAAGCGTTCCTACTAGGGATCCAACATGAGGCTGTGTTATTCTAGGTTCAAAACCTGGGCATTTGTTCTAGACTTGTGTACCCGAGCGGACAACTCGAGCCGAGGAGGGGGCTACGTACCGGGAACCAAAAGGCCATCCGGCTTTGTAACTTGTCCGAGCCTCTTTCTTATTTCAAGGTATGACACTAACAGAATAAGGAGTCTCGACCAGCGAGCACATCCCTGAAGATGAGAAGAGAACGGTTTCGTAGCAGTTTATATACAATTCAAATAATATCAAAGCGGTAAAAAGCGGCAATTAGCACATTAGGCTCAACATGTAAAAATCAGATAATAAATAAAGCCAACTATAACAGTTATTCTAAGCTTGAATTATGAACCCCGAACCATGAGTTCTGGGTTCTTGTCCCCAGTAGAGTCGCCAGAGCTGTCACACCTCCTTTTTTACTACACCCCCGTAAAGGGAGTATAAAAAAGGGAGTTTTTCCAATTAAAGGACAATCGAAACGGGATTATATTTATTAAAGATTCAGAGTCGTCACTTGGGAGATTTATGGTGTCCCAAGTCACCGGTTTAAATCCCGAATCGAGGAAAGGATTGACTCTGTATTACAGTCCACGAACCAGAAATCCGGGTAAGGAATTCTGTTAACCCGGGAGAAGGTGTTAGGCATTCCCGAGTTCCGTGGTTCTAGGACGGTCGCTCAACTGTTATAAATGGCCTATTATCTGATTTTAAAATATTTTTAACCTATGTGCAATTTTAACTTTTAACCGCTTTTATTTAATTAATTAAAGGAAGATTGCAACGTCATTTAAAATATGCTTCGAACCACGTCACATAAATGCACCCGCAGTCCATAACACATTTTATCTAACGTTGAGATTTGAATTTGGGTCACATAAATATGTACCCGAGTTTAGGAAGGTAAATTATTAATATAACGCGCCTAAAGCAACTACGCGTTTGCAATTTTGCGAGGGCCATGGAAATTCTCTTAATGGCACGCCTCATATTCTAAGGATTAAATCAAAATTAATTAAGCGAGGGCCATAACTATTTGTGTTACCTAATATAGCACACCTCCAATGTACTTAAAGGAGCCATTTTTCAATATCTTTAATAATACCAAACCTTACAGCCTTTTACAACTAAAACCTCATAACTTGCCAAAAGTTTAATAAAAGAAACTAAGCAAATGAGTATTCAGGAGTAGTAACAGCAAGTACTAATACTAATTTTTGTCCAAATGACACTAAGCCAATGAATATTCAGGAATAATAACGACAAATACTAATACTAATCTTGTCCAAATGAACTAAGCAAATGAGCGCTCATAGTTTTCTCCATTAGCTAGCACTGAATGAATAAATTAACGCCAAACTAAGTTATAGAACACCTAATAGAACTTAATCAAAGGATACCAAATAAACAAAAATAATATAAAATAAAAATGAATCAAAAGACATGCGGCAAAGACATAAACGAAAAATTACCATACCAATTTCTATATTGCATCTTTGAACATCGATGTAACTTTTCCTCATCTAAAACTTGATTTTTAATAACTTGAACAAACAGAAACGGACAAGACCATGGACCAACCCTCAACATCGACCTCGTCGGAAAACCTCGAACTCACATCGACATTTAGCTGGCGGCTGTTCTTTTCGTTCTCTTTCAAGAGAGTAACAATGGAGATTCTTGTTTTATCTTTTTTTTTTTGAGCTGCTGCTGTATCTTCAGAGAATCATTTAAGAATCATGGAAGATTGGAGGATTTTTGTTCGGTGGTTTTTTTTTTTCAAATGGAGAAGAAGAAGCTTAAGGTGTTCTCAGGTTGTCTTCATGCGTGTGTCATGGTGTTTTCCGGTGAGCTACTGGTTCTGGCGGGATTCACTGGTTGGGTTTTGGAGAAGATGAACCGATGGGGGGGGGGGTTGTTGGTCGAAGAAGAAGAGCGATGGGCTGCAGGTTATGGCTGCCTAGGTTTGAGGTGAAGAAGATTTCTGTTGGTTTTGGAAATGGAGGGGTGTGGAGTGGTCGATGGAAGCAACTGATTTCAGCTCTTGGTGGGGGACTCGTTTGTGATTTGCAGATGACTGAATGAGGAAGCAGCAGCATCTCTCCAAGTTTTTGGAAGAAGGACGAGCTCAACGTTTGTTTTCGCTCATTCTTAGATCTAGGATCATCCCGATTCCAGAAAATGGCGCTCAGCGTTCTTTTTTTGTGTCTCCATAGCTGATAGGTGTTAGTCCTATTATATAGGTCCAGGTCTAGGTTTACATTTTATATATTTTGCCAATTAGTCCCTAGGTCTTTTGTGTATTAGGTCTTTAGGGTCTTTTTTATTTGTTTTTTATTCCAAAGAAGCTCTAGAAGGGTCTCTAGGCTTAATGGACTAATCTGAATTGGGCCAAGAACTGGACTCTAAAACTCTTAAAATTGTGATCCAACACCTTAATTACTCCTTTTAAAATAAGATAAAAATACTACACAATGCAAAAGCTAACATAAAACTATTATATATTTTTTGTATTTTCAAGATTATGTAAAGATAGAAGGTACTATTTTTGTATATTATTATTATTATTATTATTTATTTAGAAGATACGTAAGTTAAAAATATTTTTTGTAATTTTTCATTTTTATGACGAAAATCAAGGAAAGAAGTCAAAAATAGTTGAAATAGCTATATTAGGCCTAAATTAAATATTTACATGCTAAAATATAAGAAATCTTGGGGAGGGTCAAAAATCACATGTCTACAATGTGTTTCAAAGCATGCCTTGACGGTAGTCTTTACTTCTTGTGTGCTTACCATCCTATGAATCCCCAAATCCTTATCACCCCTTCTATATGTTTGTATTTCTCCTGATTGGTGTGTGATTATGCCAGAGTCAACTATCTCTGAGCATGTCCAAACCAATCTGAAGATCTTTGATCGGTTGTGCAGCCAAATGTCTATGTATCCCCAACCCCTTGACCCCTGTATGACTGCTGAATTCTGTAAACTAGTTGTGTGTGATCTTTTCTTAAGGTGTTTTGTTTACTACTCCAACCTCTTTTCAAAAAATCTTTGTTGCTTTACTAATTGCTTTCAAAATAGACTTTCCAATACAGTCTTTAATAACCCTTTTCAACTTGTGTCCTGCACTTCCACTTTACTCTTAGTCAATAAGTTCTGCCCCCTCTAGTATGTGTACTGCCTTGGGATCCTCTTGAGAGCCCTCTGAACTCTGGCATACTGAGGCTGGCCTTTCCACACTGCACTGGTTCAATTCTTGGTTGCTAAGTCTAGGTATAAGCATTGCCCGGGGTTCTTGAGGCCCTTAGGGAACTTTGATGCACCTAGACTCTGATTTGTCTATGGAATTGAGGTTTATGAGACCATTGGAGGCTTTGGGAAACTCGGGCGTAATTAAGGGCTCCCTATAGAATAGCTTCTTGATTTTCTATTTTACTTATGTAATTCATTCATTGGCCTGTAATAATTTATAAACAGATATTTGGGGCATTTAGTAAAAAGGGTGGGTAGATGTATACTTTATGGGGTAATATGGCTAGAAATCCTGCTCTTAGGATCTCACTTTTAAAATCTGCCTGCTTTACTCAATAAAAAACATGCTCATAGGGATTTATGCTTTTAAATATGATTGCTTTGCCTAACAGAAATCATGTCTATAGGATCTCACTTCTAATTTCGTTTGCATCAGTAGAAATCATGTTCCTAAGGTTCTGCATTTTGTCATATTAAAAACCATGTTCATAGGCTCCAAACCATCATGTCTTAAATCAGTAGATGCCATGCCTATAGGACTCAACTCCGATTCAGTTTTAATAAGTCTTTCTGTATGTTGTTGCAAATCGACTAAAATCAGTAATACGCCTAGATATCATGCCTATAGGGATCTATACTCGCAATTCTGTCTGGTAATTTAATTCAGCCTAACAAATCAATTTCATTACGCCTAGTTCATTTCAAAAGCTGGTCTTACTAAGCGTTAACATTTTCTGAAACAAGTTCTTTCAAAATTGCATCGATCCCATTAGATACCATGCTTATAGGTATTAAAGGAGTCTATCTCGAAAACCTATTGTTTCTACATTAATATAGACACAGTATACTGCATATAGGCAAGCCTTAGGGCATTTTCAAAACTGCATTCCCCTGAAGATCTTTCTCTCTCGTTTAATGTTTCTGATTCTAATAACTTTTAAAAGATTCCTTAGGCAACTGCTCTGAACCTAAAAGGGTTTGTTGGTTTCTGCATGGTCACCCAGAGATCCTGCTTTAGGACTTTTA